ATTCAGTCTCGGGTGAACTGATGGATTCAAAGGTCCGTATTTGCCTGGATGGACGTTTTATAAATAAACGTCTTATGATTCACTACCATCCATTGATAATATTTTGTTTCAGTGTAGAAACAAAAATTGAAATGTAGTTTAGGGTTATTTAAGTTATAATAATTTAAAATTAATACTTCTCCTCTACTATCATTTTTATTCTATATACTCTTTATTAATTTTATGCCTTTCTTATATTGTAATATGGAGGTGCTTCCTGGTCCTCCCGATCTATCTATCGTCCTAACCAATAAAAGAAAATGGGCTCGCCATAAAATTAAATTCCCTCCGGACAAAATCACCCGCAAAGCATAATACAACTCCAACATATCTTGTTGCTAAACGATGCGATCAAGAAGACTTTAGAAAAACCTCTCCATTTTTTATTCAAAAGGTGATCGCTCAGTTAGCAGGTGATGTTAAAGCAGTAAAAAAATTAAGAGACGGTTGTTTATTGATACAAACACTTAATGGACAACAATCAAATGGACTTTTATCCGTTACAGACGTTGGAGGCCAAATGAAATTTGAAATAACACCGCATAAAACTTTAAACTATAGTAAGGGCGTCATCCGTTGCTATGATTTCCAATACATGGACATACAGGAAATAAAGAACGAATTAACTCCGGTAATAAAAGATATCGTCAGAATAAAATCAAAACGGAACGGTAATGAAATACTAACACATAACTATATAGTTACCTTTCCAACACCTCTACCTCCAGAAACATTACAAATTGGATATGAAACAGTTAGAGTACATCCTTATGTACCGAATCCATTACGATGCTTTAACTGCCTAGGATTCTCTCATCTGACATCACAATGTAAAAAGATATCAGTATGCGTGCAATGCGTGCCGGGAAGACTTGGAGAAAATATAAGATGCAATTTGCTGGCTAAATGCATAAATTGCAATGGTCCTCATAATGCCCTAGATCGCTCCTGTACCGAGTTCAAAATACAAAAGGAAATAATTAATAATTAAACTTTATGATAAGATTCCATTAGGTGATATAGACTTATTTTGGTCAAGAATACAGTTAGATATTTCAGAAAGAGTAGAAGGTATTTTAACTCTACTGGGCGAAGTTTCATCATACAAAAAGCTGGTGCATCCGCTTTCAACAAATCGATGTCCACAAACCTGTACTTATAAGGTTTCATTTTCATATAGAGTGGCATTAACGTTGTGTTTTGGTATTTAATAGTAAAAGTTTCCACCCTATTGTATATAAATATTCGCCCAATTGTAAATAAATATTAGTTTAAAATTTTGCTAAGGGACTAGAGTTTAGAGGAGAACGCACTAGGAGTATAAATAATTTTGGCCTGCGGCAATAGAATAGAAGGATGGAACAAAAAACTATTGACTCATAAAATATCATTACCTAGAATTAATAAATTTGTTTATTATAGGAATACAAAAACAGAGCCAATCACCATTCCTATTTTAAAAGATGATATATATAAGGGTTATATGGCTCAGAACCCTGTTAGGGCAGGTCGTTTAATATCTCATTTTAAGACACGGTAGTCTTTATCCCTTCCAGAGGGGGAATAAAAAAGAGACATTTTATTGAGAACGTTTTTTTTCTCTACTCCACTCGAAGGATTCAGTAGAAGAAGGTGATGGTGGTGTTATTGTACAATAGCTTGTTTGAATGAGTCAGTTACTAGTGGGAAGAGTCAGGAGAAATGTGCTCAACGCCATACAAACAGATGAGTAGACCCCATGGGATGAGGTCACTAGAAGACTTAAAAAGGCTTATGGAGGAGGGCGCTGGACACCAGAGGAGGGTGTTTACCGCCTCTTCACCAAAACTAGAAGGTTGGGGCAATCCGACTATAGTTTTGCAGAAACCATGTTGAACCAATTTACAGCCATCTAGGAAAAACTAGTAGAGACTGTAGAACAGGCGGAGGCGGCTCAGCAGTTTGTGATATATGGAAAAGGTCTGAAGGTACCGCTAGGTCGAAACTTGAGAGTGAAGGAAAAATTGGCCGCTGAAAAATCCTTCGCCAATTGCTTCCGAGACGTAATGCATAAGGGGAGAGGAGGAAGAAGCAGATTAACAGTAATGGAGACAGGTACCGTTCAGGGATAGAAGAAACCATAGAGAACGATTTGACTTCAGACCTGAACCACCTCAAAATTTACGAGTTGAACATAGAAGAGGCCCAAGAAATGTTAAAGACAATCAGAGAGGCCCTAAGCCATGAGGAACCAGAATAGAGGACAATCGTAGATGTTACGAGTGCAATCGCTCGGGGCATATTGCTGCTAACTGTCCTTACGTTAAATGCTTTGAATGTGGGGACAAAGGACATGTCCCTAGAGCCTGCACTTAGATCCACAAGAGAAGCTCACCAGATGAGCCGATGGAGGTGAATTCACATAGAACAAGACGGCATAGGGATGTGTCAACTTCAAGCTCTGAAGAATACTCAGAAAACAGCTCCACTGTTGAAGAGGCAGATGGTTGAAAATAGCTGGAAGTGCGGGTGAAGAGAGGAGCAGAATACACAAATCCAAGAAGGCGGACGCGAAAAAGGAAACCACTATCTGATGAGTTGGGGGCAACCCATGCAAGCGAGAGCTGGTAAATGGTGCATGTGAAGGGTGGGAGAGGTTGCTAATAGTGCAGGGATGTGGTGATAAGATGAGAGCGCTAATCGACATTGGAAGCACAAGCTTGAACCAACATGAGTTTTGTGTTACAAAACAAGCTTTCCCAACAAAGCACCTTGGTCAGCAGAGGGGTGTTGAGGGGGCTGGATGAAGAGATCAAGATATGTAAATGCTCTGTTATCACTATGAGTGGCCCTTGTAGAGTACTGATGGAGTACACGTGGGACCTAGAAAATCTTACTGGAGTAAAAGTGAGTACGATCGTGCATGTATTAGAATTATTAACCGATCAGTATGATGTGTTAGTAGGATGCGACGTCTTAGACAAAGTGGGTTTTAAGATGCAGGGTAGTTATGGGAGTTGGGAGACGACCCTGCGAACAAAATTTTTTCACGGAAAATTAAAAACGAACGGTACATAGAGGTGATTGAAAATGGTGAGTCAAAGGTCGAGACGCTAATTTCAGAATTTACGGATATTTTTTATAAGCAGGGCTAAGCATTACCTGCGACAGGAAGGACAGAACACGAAATAATTTTAAAGGAGAATAAAATTTCGTACACGAAGGGCCGAAGATACCCTCAAGTTAATGACGAGATCAAATAAATGACCTCCTTTGTCAAGGGATTATAAGACACCGTTTAGTAGTCCCCTGTGGATTGTCGAAAAAAAGAAATTAAATCAACAAGCAGATCCCTCATTTCGTCCGGTGATCGATTAAAGAAAGTTAAATGAAAATACAATAGAGGAACTTTACCCCTTTCCGAAGCTTGACCGGTTAGCTGGTGCATGAAAGTCCCGCGGAAACACGTCATACACAAATCAATGAGACGGATACGATAGTCAAACAGCATATGCGGTAGATTATTTCGAAAACGAGTACGGAAGGAGTATCGCGAACGGACCATGCAAAAAAATATGGTCGGCACAATATTGTTACTGCATGGACAGTCCCTTCGGTTTCATCGGCAGACATTGTGCGTATCCTTAATGATATCACGAAACAAGGAAGAACGTATCATATGTATGTGGGGAATAAGACAGGTCTGAACAGTATTAAGCATCTACGGGAAACAGAACGTATAGAGGCCGATAGGAATCTAATTTTATGTTCAAAGATGGTTGAAACGGTTAAAGAGCCCGAGCGTCAAAAAGACTTAAAGCCTACTACAAAGGAAAAACTAATCATCCTAGGGTTCCGGAAACTCTTGCAGCATTACGGGGCAGGTATTGTTGGCATCACATGCGCCGATCTATTCGGGAAGTTCCAAAGGCGTGTACTATATGGCATCGTGCAAAATACGACAGACATACACTTACGGTCCGGTCCGTTCATAGGTATCGCACATTCCGAATTCACCATTACTAGACTTACAGGTTGACATACTTACTTGGGAGGGGTCACTTACTAGGGAAGATACTAGATAACTTCAGTAAACTGGTAATGGCGTATCCTCTGACGAACCAAATCATGGACGCCATCTGGGAGGGAATGCTTGGATGGATGGCGTGTTACGGAATGCCGCACAATATAACATCGGATAATGGAAGATAATTTAAGAACGCTCGTACTACAACGGAATGTGCGAAGTTGAATATGAAATGTAGTTATAATTCACCAGGTAACCCACAAGGGCGCAGAGCCATTGAACTCCTCCACAATACATTAGGGGAACATCTCCATCTGTTCCAATTACACAGAGGACTTGGAGCTGCTAAGGGGTACAATAACACGATCCATTCCGCTACGGCGTTTACACCGGTAGAAATAGTGTTCGGACATCCATTACGAAATAGGGGGATTTACTCACGTCCGCGTACCTACGGGACGCCATGATCCATAAACGTAGACAATTACGGGACATTAAAAGACAATAAGACTTTAGTAGGTCAATTGCGAGTTGTGTTCCAGGAGTCGTCGAGTGAGGTTGGTTTAGGACGCTCCTCCGCTTATGTGCGTTTTAGTTCGCGAAAAGTATTGTTCTTTGGTTTAATCGTTCTCAAAACTGTTTAATTTGTCTCCGTGTACCTTTGTGTAAAAGTGAAGTGGTTTTTACCTGAAAATAACAGAGATATTAGTGAAAATAACATCAAGCGGCGCCCACGTGGCCCTGAAACCGCTATTTTTCCTGTTATTTTTCAGCCGGAGAACTTGTTACAAGTGTTTTGTGAGCCTATCTTTGTTCGGGTCATTAAGTTACACCTCTCCCATAAATTGGGACAAAATCGGTCCGTTGGAAGGAAGGTAAAACTTCATTCATTAGTTTTGTATTATATTCTGTTTATCTGATTAAATTGATAAGCCTTGCAAAGGGGTAATCGAAAATGGGAGAGGAGGAAGGAAAAGAAGAGGAGAGGGCCCAGGCGATAGTAGAGGGCAATCTGGAGGAGGTACCTAGTGACAATCTCCTACAGAAAGAAGAGAGCTTGGCAAGGAAGTGCCCTATTGAAAAGGCGGAGATCATACAGGACTTGTTAAGAGATTACCTGTCAAGGAAGAAGGTGACGAAAGAAATACAATATTATGTTATAACAATATAACAATATTATGTTATAATACAATATTCCAAATTTAGGGAATTAACTAACATAATAGTTGAAATAGAGGCAGTAGCCCATTTCGTAGAACATAACAGAACTGACGAGCGGACAACTCAAGTGCGGACAAGCCGTGACGTTTTTACCAAAGATAGCACACCGTTGGTAGAAATGAGGACAACCGGAGTCGTAGTTGCGACCCCAGTGAGCATGGGGAGGAAGATGGAAGTCCCGACGAACAGGGGCATAACCGTGGAGGAGCCTATGAGGGATGAAGAAACCCAGTGGAGCGTGGTGAAAAAAAGGCGTGAAAGAAGGAGAAAACACCACAGAAAAGAAACTCACATTTGCCAGCGTCCTGGCCGGCGTGCCCGTCTCACAGAAGAAAGACAGCACGAACACCTTCATCACGCTCAAGGGAGCGACGGAGGGGTGGACGATGGTTGACATCCACAAGCAGCTGCCAACCGAGGAGGAGCTGAAGGAGATTGGTGTCAGCGCTAAAGTGGTTAGACCTCTGAGCGACGGAAAAGGGGTCCTAGTCAGGACGGAGGGGTTGGTGCAGGCCAACAAAATCTTGGAGTGGGATCGCCTGAAGGAGCAAGGACTGGAGGCGAGGCTGACCACGTCGCGACGCCCCCGACTGGAGGTCAAGGGAGTACCCAGGCACTGGGACGCAGGGCTCTTGGAGGAGTTCCTATGGAAGAAGAGCGGGGTAGGAAACCAGACCCAGGAAAGAAGAGGCTGGATACGAACCTGCTTCTCAACTCCTTCAAGAGGAGGAATAACCTCGATGTGGGTCCTAGAGGTGCATCCAATAATTAGGACAGCTCTGAGGAACATCACAAGGGCCGACCTGGATGGAGGTTGGTGGAGCCTGACCATCAGGGACTACCTGGACCCCTTGATCTGCCTGAGGTGCCAGGACTATGGCTACCCCGCAAAGTCCTGCAAGAAGGAGTTGGCGTGCAGATGGTGCACGGTGTCCGGGCACAAAGCCAGGGAATGCCCAGAAAGAGAGAAAAAAGTGCCACCATGCTGCCGGAACTGCAAGGCGCAAGATAGGAAGGGGGGACATTCCCAGCACTGTGCGGGCAGCAGAGAGAGCCCGATACACCTGGAGATGATGGTCAGGCAGGCCAAACTGACCAGATATGGATAAACTCCATATCTTACAGCTCAACATGGGCTGAAGACGAGTAGTGGCGGACGAATTGAGAGCTCTCGCCCGAGGAATCGACATCATGGTTATCCATGAACCATCATGTCGAAACAATGTGGTCGTAGGCTTTGGTGTTAGGTCAAGGGTGGTCTCCTTGGACAGTGGAGAGAGGAGGCCCAGACTGGCGATAGTGATAGTGAACCCCGCCCTCGACGTAATGGAACTGAAGAATTTCACCACGGCGGACCAGGTGGCATGTTATGTCAAATGGGGTAGAATATCCTTTGCCCTAGTCTCCTCATACATGCCGTCTGGGCACGTAGACGTAGAGGAAAATATTACTGCCGTGGAGGCTGTCGTACAGAAGTACGATAGTCTGTTCCGACACCAACTCTTGGGGCACGGCCTGGGGTTCGGTCAGCACGAATGCCAGGGGAAGAGCGGTAGAGGAACGAGATGTCAGATAGAGGATCGTGACGAGATGTCAACTCGTCGTAATGAACGAGCCCTCTGGACCCATATTTGTTAGAACAAGGGGCCAGAGTAGTGATATCGACGTGACTGGCCACGACCGCTATGGCAAGGAGGGTGGCTGACTGGACCCTACGGTCTGACACGAGCTCCGACCATCGGATCATAAAATCCAGGGTAATGGAGGAGGAAGGTAGAGTCCCCATATGCGAGAGGGAGTTCGTGACCCGTTCGGCGGACTGGAGTACCTACTCCAGTACACTGGAGGGAATAATGGAGGAGAGGGTGCCCGTTGAGGAAACGGCGGACATCGACGAGCGGGTGGCGAACCTAATGGACGCCATCACGGATGCAGCGGAAAATTGCCTCCAGCGCCAAAGGTCGAGAGCACGTCCGGTCCCATGGTGGACGCCAACCCTGACACAGCTGAAACGAGAATACTACAGGGCTAGGCGTAGGTGCCAAGAGTGCAGAGATGAGGAATGAAGACCTGCACTCAGAGAGGAGGCAAAGCATAGGTATAGGGTATACCGAAACGGCGTGCGTCTCGAGAAGAAGAAATCCTGGGACGAGTTCATAGTGCAGGAGTCGGAGAAAAATCCCTGGGGTATACCATACAGGTTGGCACTGGACAAAGTAAGACTGCAGCAGATGATGGCTGCTATCAGAGTGGCTGGATCCCAGGCCACCACCCTCGAGAAATGTGCAGCGATGTATGTGGACTACACCTACCCCAGGGATGACCCGTCCCAGGATAGCGAAGCTGATAGCATGGTGAGACGCACCACGTCATACCCGCCTGGTACCGACCTATGCCCACCATGGGACATTTGGGACCTTCGTCGTACTTCCCAAGCAAGTGGAGGATTGCAGACTTGAGACTGCTCTACAAGGGAGGAGGCAAAGACAAGGAACCGCCCGAAGCTTATCGGCCTATCTGTCTTCTCCCGGTCGTCAGCAAGGTCCTGGAACAAATGATGGCCGCTAGCCTGAGGCCGATCCTCAATGCAGCTAGCCATCCACGGCAGTTCGGCTCGACACGTGGCAAGGGAACCACAGATGCACTGCTTAGAGTGCGCAGGGATGTGGAGGGGAAGGCGGAGAAGTACGTCCTCCTGATACTGTTTGACATATCCTCCGCCTTCGACAGTGTATGGTGGCCCTGCGTACTTCAGCGGTTGCAAGAGCTCGACACCCCCAGTTACCTTTATTCTCTAGTAGGCAGTTACTTCAGTCAAATAACCGTCAGGATCAGGGGTAACTACTACGATGTCGAGAGGAGGATAGAGAGGGCTGTCCACAGGGCTCAGTCCTAGGTCCAGCCCTGTGGAAGCTCGTCTTCGACCAGTTGCTGGGGGAACTGGAAAACAGGGGTTTCCTTGTCACGGCCTACGACGACGACCTGGCGGTAATCGTGGCTGAGAACAGCAGAGCCAGACTAAAGACGGAAGCGGAGAGATGCTCCAGTCTAGTTTCAGAGTGGTGCGTCAAGCGGAAACTAACCATGGCCGCTGCAAAAACGCAAGCCATACTCATAAGAGGCTCCACGGACAGGGCTCACCCTATCAACCTATACATCCAAGGTGCAAGGGTCAGGGTAGGTGAGGAGGCGACATACCTAGGGGTACGAATCAGAAGAAACGTCGACGCCACTCCTCACCTAGACTACCTAAGGGGTAGGGTGACCCTAACGATTAATGGTCTACGAAGAATCGGAGGTGCCTTCTGGGGCCTCAGGTACCCGGCAACCATGGCAATATACAAAGGAGTCATCCTGGGTATCCTGAGGTACTCATCCCACGCGTGGAGCCGAAACTTGAAGCAAAACCACAAGCGACGACTGGCCACCATACTTCAAGGCGTGGCCTGGTCCTGCTGGGCGTCACGAGAGCTTATAGAACGGTGTCCCACGAGGCAGTGCAGGTGCTGGCCGGAGCGATGCCCCTGGATCTTATTCTCAACGAGGACGCCTTGAAGTTCGAGATCAAGAGGCAAAGACTGGATACGCTACCGGAGGGACTCCGAAGAAGAATCTGCGAGAACCCTAACCAATGGAAGAAGATAGTCAGGGAGGAATATATCCAGGAGTGGAACAGACGGTAGGTGACAAGCGGGAAAGGATCCACCCTCAGAAAGTTCTTCCCAACCGTCCAAGACAGACTTAAGGCTACTTGGGTCCGCCCTGATTATTGGGTCTCGCAGATTCTCACAGGACATGGTGGGTTCCGGGGAAAGCTGGCTGACCATGGAAAGGACATCGACCCCCAATGCCCTCCCTGCGGAATCCCCGAAACGGCAGAACACATCCTGGTATCCTGCACCGCAATGGAGGGACGCCGTGCCAAACTCTTGAAGGAAACAGGGCTGTATAGCCTAAGAGAACAGGATTTTCCCCGCATAGTGGAGGAAGAAAATTAGCCGCTCTTTAGGAAGTTTGTGTACGGGTGGAGAGACACAACGGCCCTGCACATTTCTCTCTGGGAGCGGCAAGAAGACCACCAGAGGAGAACGAAGAAGATTAAGGACCGGACGGATGCGGTGCGGACAAGGTGCGGCATCTACCCTGGCCCCATCATAAAAGTGCACAATTGTGTACCGGGCCGCACCACAGTATACCCAATTTAATTTTTACGTCAAATAAATGAAAATTCCCAAAAGAATATTGTAAAAGATAAATAAAATGTTGATTATTGGCAGCAGTGGTTATACGAGAACCCAAACGTATTGACCCACTGCAGCCAAAAGCCCGTATGGCAACAATGCCAGGCAGGGTGAAAAAAAAAAAGTAGGTCAATTGCGACCACTCAAAGAGCTGTGGCGGCCGAACTTATAAAAGAAACCAACAAGAATAGAGTTGACTTTATTCTTATACAGAAACTATACTCCGAAAATTCTAAAATCTTTGGATTTGGTAGAAAGGTTGTGATACAGGCCAAAAAGGAAGAGCCGAAACCATGAGCGGCTATAGTGGCTAGCTCTAAAGGATTCAGATCATTAAAACACACTCAGCTATCAGACTAGTACATTCAGGCTATTGAGGTCAGTAAAGGAAATAAGAGGCTGCTCTTGATCTCAATGTGCATGCGATTCAACATGCCGATAGACTCCTCCTTAAATCAGATGCAGAATATTTGCGAAATACTGAACGAACGCTGTTTGCCACCGATGTAAAAGCCAAGTCCCCTTATTGGTGCACAATTACTAAGGAAGATGACGGGGATTGAAGTCGAATTAGTAATCGACCAAAATAACCTACACAACAGAACAGCTGCGACATTTTTTCACAACAAAAACAGCTAATTCACTAGACGTCATCCAAGCGAGTAACCAGCTAAAAGAACACGTAAAGAAATGAAAAACACGCAAAGACAGATGTTTAAGTCAACATGTCTTAATCGAAACTGCAATAATGATAATCACAACACCAGTAAAGAAGAAAGAGGCCCCAAATTTCAATTTCAAGAAAGCGCATTGGGACATCTACCGAAACACCCTAAAAATCGAAATAAACAGAGTTCCAAATGAAATCAAAACCCCCCTATGAATTGGTTGACAATGATGAGCTATTGCAAAGAATACTACTAGTCAAAGCCGCCTCTCAGGTAATACCCAAGGTCTATAAAACTACCAGGTTTGCTCACTCAGAAATGGCTGGTGGGGGAGAGGGGACTTGAAACCGTGACGTAATGATTAGACCGCCAAACCTACCTATTGATTTTCAAGCCTTTTATTAAAGATTTATTTCAATATTACTGTGCTTTTTTTTTTTTTTTTTTGCTTTGCTTGTTTAATTTATTGAAAGGACTTTTCTTTTTGTGTTTTCGGCGTTTGATCAAAGATAATTTCTAGTAGGTAAATAAATAAATACGATTAGCAACATAGAATAAAATTCTATGAAAATTACATGTTTACATTATAGACCTGAAACGAAAAGAACGAAATTGATATTAAGATTATTTTTAAATTCTTTATTTCAAAATTACTCACAGAAAATCAACCATTTATATTTATTTAGAGAAACAAAACAACATAGTAGCACAATTTATGTTTGAAGATTAATGGAATCTTATATAATGCCAGGTACAAGGTACGCAGTTGCACCTTCAACAATAATCTAATTGGCGCAAAGAAGTTGGGAAATACAATTTCATTTCATACTACTGTTTCAAAGGAAGCTGGAAGAAAAGGTTGGATTTTAAAATACAAGCGAGCTGATAAAGTCATTTAATCCAGCCACTTCTTGCATTTGCTAAGCGAACTTTTCAGATGAATGTTTTGAAAGAGATTTAAAAACAGAATTGCTTGGCCTTCAGCATAAAATACAACTGAAAAAAAAACTGGTAAAATTTAGATCTTTGGATTATATAACGTATACAGTAATTTTATAATAAATTTAATTCTTTTTTTCAGCAATTCCAACTTGGAAGCAAATTTGGACAGCAAAATAAAAATAAGTACTTCTCAAATTTTCAAAAAAAGAATTTTGAGCTTGAAGTGAAATCTATCCTTCAAGACATTTTCTCTGAAAGTCAACTGAATTTAGTATTTAAACAAAAAAGACAATCAGTCCATTGGAAGGGTATAGAAATTTCGAACCCATTTGCGGTCAGATACTTCAGTAGAAAATGTTACTCTTTTTTAAGAGGCCATCTGAATTGCCCATTGCCAGGCCTCTCCTCGCTTATAAGTTGGGCAAGCAAAATAGATCTAAGCAGAGGGTTTCTCTACGATATAAATAGAATTATGAAAGTCAAAACATTAGCTATCCTTCAAGACATTTTCTCTGAAAATCAACTGAATTTAGTATTTAAACAAAAAAAGACAATCAGTCCATTGGAAGGGTATAGAAATTTCGAACCCATTTGCGGTCAGATACTTCAGTAGAAAATGTTACTCTTTTTTAAGAGGCCATCTGAATTGTCCATTGCCAGGCCTCTCCTCGCTTATAAGTTGGGCAAGCAAAATAGATCTAAGCAGAGGGTTTCTCTACGATATAAATAGAATTATGAAAATCAAAATATTAGCTATCCTTCAAGACATTTTCTCTGAAAATCAACTGAATTTAGTATTTAAACAAAAAAGACAATCAGTCCATTGGAAGGGTATAGAAATTTCGAACCCATTTGCGGTCAGATACTTCAGTATAAAATGTTACTCTTTTTTAAGAGGCCATCTGAATTGCCCATTGCCAGGCCTCTCCTCGCTTATAAGTTGGGCAAGCAAAATAGATCTAAGCAGAGGGTTTCTCTACGATATAAATAGAATTATGAAAGTCAAAACATTAGCTATCCTTCAAGACATTTTCTCTGAAAATCAACTGAATTTAGTATTTAAACAAAAAAGACAATCAGTCCATTGGAAGGGTATAGAAATTTCGAACCCATTTGCGGTCAGATACTTCAGTATAAAATGTTACTCTTTTTTAAGAGGCCATCTGAATTGCCCATTGCCAGGCCTCTCCTCGCTTATAAGTTGGGCAAGCAAAATAGATCTAAGCAGAGGGTTTCTCTACGATATAAATAGAATTATGAAAGTCAAAACATTAGCTTATCCTTCAAGACATTTTCTCTGAAAATCAACTGAATTTAGTATTTAAACAAAAAAAGACAATCAGTCCATTGGAAGGGTATAGAAATTTCGAACCCATTTGCGGTCAGATACTTCAGTATAAAATGTTACTCTTTTTTAAGAGGCCATCTGAATTGTCCATTGCCAGGCCTCTCCTCGCATATAAGTTGGGCAAGCAAAATAGATCTAAGCAGAGGGTTTCTCTACGATATAAATAGAATTATGAAAGTCAAAACATTAGCTTATCCTTCAAGACATTTTCTCTGAAAATCAACTGAATTTAGTATTTAAACAAAAAAAGACAATCAGTCCATTGGAAGGGTATAGAAATTTCGAACCCATTTGCGATTCAGATACTTCAGTATAAAATGTTACTCTTTTTTAAGAGGCCTTCTGAATTGCCCATTGCCAGGCCCCTCCTCGCTTATAAGTTGGGCAAGCAAAATAGATCTAAGCAGAGGGTTTCTCTACGATATAAATAGAATTATGAAAGTCGAAACATTAGCTATGACCGAAGTCGAAAAACTAATAGTCATATAATTTGACGAACTAAAAGTTTCATCGATGTATGAATACTATAATATGTAAGACCAAGTAATTGGTCCTTACTCTCAAGTGCATGTAATCATGGCGAGAGGGATTACATCAAATTGGAATGTAGCGATCAGAGTGTAAGGAAACAATGAGATTACCTACCGACAGCAACTGATACGCATATGAGGAGAGATCAGTTTTGGTTATGCATCTTTTGTGTAATACAATTTGTGAGTAATAAACCTTTGAGTTAAACATAGTGTTTTTGTTTGATTTTATGTTTTAAAGACATTACACAATTTATATATGTTTAGATAAAAAGGTTATTGTAGAAATTTGAACAGAATGCATCAAATTATTAAACTTAATTGGCTACATCGTTTATGCTTAAATTAGCGTCTGTGGAGATAGACACTTTGGACACAAATGCGAATCAATATAGTTAAAACATTTTTTGTTAACCCTTGTGATATATTTTAAAAAACAATCGTTTTTGCTGATGTACCCCATCTTTTAAAATTGATCAGGAATTAGTTCTTAGATGAGGAGTTCATTTTAGAGAACGGAAACATTATTTCCTAACAGCCAGTGTAAGATTTATTTAACATTATCAGAACTATTTTCTCATGGTGTTGGAACTGCTTTAAAGCGGTACCAGGTAGAGAATAAAAAGCTGGTGGAAGATACTGGTAATATCATATTGCTGATAAATAAATGGTTCTACATCATACTCAATGAAAGGTGCGATACCCTCCAAACACATATTTGGTATCAATATAAATGCTTAAATTGAATTATTACATGAGTTCATTAACACGGCTATCTCGAAAATTTCTCTACGCGTATTTCAGAAAGGAGTAATCATTTCTTCGAAATTTTCATCAGTCTGTATAATGAGATGAAAAAAAAAACGAAGAATTTTTTTTTTATATGTGCTCATAAATTGAAACAAGATGGTTTGGAAATTTTTGTTGGCCAAATACATCAACGGAGAGGATTTAATGATCATCGTCTCCATTGTCAACTCTTCACAGAATACGATTAATCATTTTGGGTAAAAATCCAGAATGTGTGAAAACTAATGCCAATACTCCTGTGGACTCTGAAGAATTCGTGGTAGCAGATGTGATTAATAAATCAAATGTAATAGTGATAATGAATATATTCGACGTTACTAAATTTCATTGTTTACTCTATGTCTATGTTATAAAGTTTAAAGAACCACATGGGTTCGAACTCCTTCCTGGATCACCATATAGTCCAGACCTCGCACCCTTGGATTACTACTTATTTAGATTCATGGCCCATTTTCTTTAAGGGAAAAAATTGATAATTTTGCGGAAGTTGAAACTGCGGCCCAAGAATTCTTTGACAGCCATCCCAAAGAATGGTATCAGCGTGGGATCGAGCAATTGGCTAGCAGATGGTTAATGTCGGTAGATAACAATGGACTATACTTTTAGTATTAATTGTATTTTGTATTAACGAAATAATAATACAAATATTTGGTTGAAAAAGAGTCTTTTTTTCCATACAGCCTCTTAATTTACTAATTTCTTACCTTGTTTTTTTATAAGTGGGTAAGATCGTTACAACCTCTGTGTATTTTACTCTTACTCCTTACTGATCTTCATTAATAATTCCATTGATAACACATAGTTTTCCTATGCGTGTTTTTATGCTTTATCAATCTGCTATAATATATGGCCATTTAACAGTGGGAAATCTTTTTACCATTAGAAGTCACATTTAGATTAGGCAGTGATAAGGGAAGCCGCTATATGTTTTAATATTTAATGGAAGTTAGTTTGTTTGTATAAGCATGGATATAAATTCTTATTTTCATATTTCCGTCATCTATATAATTAGATATTAAACAATAACATGAAAGCTTCAAAAACTCACGAAGGCCACACCTTATTCACGTATGGTATATAAGGTTACTCTTATAAAGATGGAAGTAGCAATAATACGAATGTAGTGCACATAGCAAATGAAAAGCAACGTATTATATTCCAATTAAAATGTGACTTAAGTTTAAATAAAGACTAAAGAAAAACTTACATAGAATCAAGAACGCAAATGACATTACTTATAAGTAACAAGTCCAACTCCAACAAAACTCGACACTATTTTTTTTTAGTTATAACATATGCTTTAACTTATTTATTTTGTTCAAGTTGAAACCAAAAAAATAATGGTAACAATATAATGATATTATATTTAAATTCTATTAAATCATATTATATTTTCTTAGCCCTGATGAAGGCCTGAACTTTGGGCCGAAACGTCGACAAAAATAAAAACAAATATACTTATTTATATTTACTATTTTTTTTTTTTTTTTTTTGACTGATCATCCCAACCATTCTTCTCTTCAATTATTCACTACAGTCAACCATCAATCCACAATTATGAATCTGCATACACGGGGCCAATGACCAGATAACAACCTGCTTACTACTCACCAACGAATCAGATCTCAAAATCGCTCTAGACCTTTTCAGTTTCCAGTAGCAACATCTTTAGGGCGCAGGGAGCTCATCGCCCTGTCATTTGACCGCAATCAGCCACTGGTTCTCCATGTTTGGGGAACAAAAACACTGACACCCACACAGTATAGTACCACAGCACACAAACATAAAGGACACCTACAGTACACACCCTAGAGCCTAGGGTCACGTTTCCTTGGAAGCCACCCCAGAAGGGGAAGGTCAGGAGAGGTGCACGCCTGTCCAGGTTACCACCACACCCAACCACAGAACAAAACACCTAAAGGTCACTCCTGTTGTCCTGTGTCCCTTCCCTTCCTGAATGGTCGAGTCCGCCCTGGGGAGTTGCTTCAGAGGGTACAGAGGAAAACGAGGGATGGCACATCTCGGCCGCTGGGATAGTACAGGAGCCCGCACCTCCTAACTAGGAAGGAGTGGCTGCTCCATCAGACCAGTCTAAAAGTTCGGACGTTCTATTAGTGCCAGTTGGTGACTGGATCGGACTCTGATGCACGGACCGCAGTTGCTCCTCCGAGATCACTGGTCTTTACTCTCGAGCGATACACTCTTCCAGAAGCCGCTGGGATGGCAGCATACCTACACTAACATTATACACTCCACTAATAAAGAGGATGAGCAGCCTAATGTGCCAGCTGCAATGGAAGTAGGATGCTGGCAAGAATTTAAACCCAGACAAGATAGGGTTTTTAAGGATTTGCACATGCTGCCACCCCCTCAGGTGAATTCAAGAGATGATGTGGCCTTGAACCTGAACACCAAGGTAGGCACTAAGTAGTAAGATTAAAATGATAGTTGGATCTATTTATATTCCTTGTAATTTAGATCCTATATATATCAATATATAGATAGACTTTTTAATTTTGCAAAAAAAGAGAACTTCCCATAATTATAAATCCCATAGATATAAATGCCCATCATCATATGTAGGGTAATACAGACACTAATGAGCGAGGTGAAACTTTGTTAGAATATATAGCCTCAATAGACTTGGAGATCTTAAACAAAGGTAGTGAAGCCACCTTTGTAACAAAGAATAGAAGTGAGATCTTAGACGTCACATTCACAACAAGCCGAATTAAAAGCCTTTTTAAAGACTGGGTTGTCACCTCAGACATTACATTATCTGACCACAGAATATAAGGCTCCTGGTACGGATGGTATATTTTCTTGCATACTTAAAGAGGGTTTTAACGTATTACTTCCTTAAATTAAAGCATTGCTCAGATCCTCACTTGCACGGACCTGGAAAAAAGCAGGTAAAGAATGGAGGGAATGCACTGAGCTTAGACAAGACAAACAATTTATTGAAAGCCCCTCTCCCTCCAAAACTAAGTGGCTGCTGGGCCTAACTAAAAAAGAAATCCAACTTATCATCGGAGTACTAACAGGCCACTGCAGACTTAAAGGATATTTAAAGATCTGTGGGATAGTAGATGATGAACTCTGCAATCTTTGCATCAATGTGACCGATTTGAATCACTCAGATACAGACTTCTGGGCGCAGACAGAATACAAGTATGCAAAACTACCTTCATAAAATGGTCCAACCATCCTTTTGAACTTCATTAGAAGAACAAAAAGGTTTGAGACAGAGTTGGAGGTACAATAGACGAACATTGGTAGTATTGCCTTCGGAGTTGGGAAAAAGGACCAATAGGCCCACTTGCCGGCTTAAGCCCTCCCCTCTCCCATACCAGTACCAGCGACCTCTTAGCCACGCTCTTCTGGTTCCTCTCCAGCCATTACCATCTCTCCCGCCAACTCTTCTTCTACAACTCTTCAAGCATTGAATGTACAACCTAATATATCCTTCTCTTCCTTAAAATCTTCTTACCCTCATCTTAAATCGCGCATAAACAACCTGTGTTACTTCCATAAACGCCTTGCAAATAGTACCGAACGAATATTTCTTCTCAAATGCCACTCTAATTCCATTTTTCCAAAATTGGTCGAAAACTCTAGCAACCGTATTTCCATATCACCTCCAATCAACTCAAAATTGTTAACTTTTACTCTTAAATTAAAAAAGTCTCTACTCAAAATTCTCACTAGGTACTCTTCGAGTTTTGCCCCAGTCAGAACTTAACATTTGGACTTGGATTTCAGGAGCAACTTAGGAATACTTGAGGTATCGTTAATATTGTAAACGATAGTTATAGTGCGTTATAGTTACAAACTCTGGTATAATACTGGAAATTATAATAACGTAATTAACCGCTAGCTACCAGTTAAGAAAATAGTGAGAAGCGAAATGACGAATACGTACGAACCTGAACCTCCTGACATCTTTAAAAACTATAATTCAAAAAGCAAACGATAGACGAAAAAATATCTAGAAATGTCTTTTCTAGAGGACAATAAATCATTCAAGGATTGTAGCCCCTTCAAGGTGAGTAGATTTTTAAAAAGCTACGCACTGCAAGCAAATATTAAATTTACTAAAAATGGAAAAGTACTTCTAGAAGTAAACTCAGAAAAAGATTTCTTTAACCTGGGTAATATCAAGAATTACGAAAATAATACAGTGAAATTTTCGCTGCATAGATATTTAAACTACTCAAAAGGTGTGATCTACTCTCCAGAACTAAACGGCTGCTCGGAACTGGAACTGAAGGACGAACTACGGGGAGAAGGAGTCATCGAAGTTAGAAGAATATACCGGAAGGCAGGCGAGCAGAAAGTTCCTACGCCAACATTGATCCTAACTTTTGAAAGGCCAGAACTGCTAGGTAATATTAAGCTAGACTTTCTAAATATAAAAGTAAGGCCATACATTCCTAGCCCTCTCCAATGTTTTAAATGTTTTGCTTTTAACCACACTTCCACGAACTGTCAAAAAAATATTTGTGGTAAATGTAGTAACCCCAAACACGAAAATAACTGCAGCAGTGATATTAAATGTATCAACTGCTTAGGGTCACATCCAGCTTGGTCACGCTCCTGTCCATATTTTTTAAAAGAAAATGAGATACAAACAGTAAAAGTTACAGAATGGGTTCCGTACATAATAGGGAAAAAGAAGGTCGAAGCGATAACTCATACAGTCTCGGACTCTAGGGAAACCTATTCCCAAGTATTAAATTCTCCAAATTCAAATAGACAGGTTAACAACAATTATAGATTCTCTGGTAATTAAAATCAATGAGTTACAAACTAAATTATGTATGATTCCCTCCATCCTCAATGTGGCTGTCTCTGAAAATCCTGATAACACAAATCATCTTTCTCCTACAAATCTAATCACACAAAATTCAGAAGAAAATAAAACTGACAATACATATCAATTACAACACACTGAAATCCACTTAAACCCAAAACAGACGGACAAACCAGAACACACTGAATCTGGTAACTCTGAAGAAGATCTGTACAATAGTCTATCCGGAACGAATAAAAACTTAGATCCTTTCCCCAACACAAAATCCATTCCAAATCCTCTCAAACTCAATTCTGAATCTCCAGCTCCTCAACAACAACGAAAGAGAACAAAAGCTTTGAAACAACTCAAATAAAAATACCACGGACGAAAATTAAAATACAACATTAAAAATCAAAATCAATACTTTATAAAACAGTAAAACTTTTTTATGAATTCCTATCTTTTAAAATATTAATATTAACATGGAAATATTACAATGGAATATTAGAGGATTCAGATATCATAAAAATGACTTAGAATCATTAGTGAGTCGCTATAACCCAGTAATTATAAGTTTACAAGAAACGCATTTACTCCCAGACCATCCTGCTATATTTCGAAAATTTGACATATTTCGCAAAGATTACACAAGTGGCCTTGAAGTATGTGGTGGTGTCTGCATTTTAGTAAGAAATGAAATCCCCTGCACCCATATCCCAATACAGTCTCCACTCCAAGCAGTTGCAGTTAAAATATTCACTCCTTTCCCGATCACAATATGTTCGTTATACCTTCCTCCTCCGCCTTTTAACCCCTCTGTAGAATTATTAGACGAGCTATATGAACAGCTTCCAACACCAGTACTCCTCCTTGGTGACATGAATGGTCACAGCCCACTTTGGGGTTCATCTCACGCTGATTGCAGAGGAAAACTCTTCGAGAATTTCATAGAGCTGAGAAATCAAACTGTCCTAAATGACGGTTCTAATACTTATATCTGCCCCAGGACCGGTAATCTATCAAACATTGATTTATCAATAGCTTCCCCATCTATATCTCCAAGATTTGAATGGTGCACTATAGAAGATACATACGGTAGCGATCATTTTCCTATCCAAATAAAATTTCTTGATAGAGTTCCTACTAAAATAAATCATAGTCATTGGCTCATTAAACATGCAAATTGGGAATTATATCAAAACTTAACAGATTCTCAAAATTTACAGATTTCTGACCAGACTGTATATTGCAAATACAAAATCATCCTACAGACAATAACTCACGCCGCACAATGTTCTATCCCTAAGAGTAAATCAACGAATGGAAAAATCTCAGTCCCGTGGTGGTCGAAGGAATGCAGCAAAGCTGTCAAAAATAGAAAAAAAGCTCTGAGAAAATTCAAAAACAACCCAAACTCAGTCAATTATGAAAAATATATCTCTAGTAGAACTCATGCACGGTATGTCATAAGAAATAGCAAAAAGAGATGTTGGCAGGACTTCATTGGTCAGATAAACATAAACACCCCAATCGGGGAAGTTTGGGACACCGTAAGACGGATCATGGGAAGAAAATGTGCGTCCACTCCCAACCTCTTAATCACTCGAGATAGAGTCACCACAGACCCGATAGCTCTTGCTAACTCCTTAGGTGAACACTTTAGACTTTCATTTTCAAATATATCTTATAACTCCTCATGTACAAATAGCCCATATCACGAATGTATCCTATCACAACACAAATCCCCATTAAATCTTCCGTTTTCTTTCTTCGAATTCAATGCTGCCCTCAAGTCATGCAAAGAATGTTCCCCAGGCCCTGACGATCTAACATACATAAATAAAATTAGTGTACATAATTTTTTTAATGAAGCATTTAAATTAGGCTTTTTCCCAGACGACTGGTGTAGGGCTTACATCGTTCCTATTTTAAAAAAAGGGAAACCAAAAGAACTTTTATCTAGTTACAGACCGATCGCTTTGACTAGCTGTCTATGTAAACTCTTTGAAAAAATGGTTGCCTTTCGACTAAAATGATATCTCGAAAGTAAATATCTGTTAAATATTTGGCAAAGTGGATTTCGTGCTGGTCGCAGTACTGTAGACAATATAATAAAATTAGAATCAGAAATATTAAATTCCAAAGACCACCTACTAGCAATATTCTTAGACATCGAAAATGCTTTTAATTCCGTTAGAAGCAATAGCTTCTGTTATTAAAGCATTACTTAATATGGGAATAAACGGTGAAATCCTAAGATTCATAAAAATTTTTCTAAGTAATCCTAAATTTAAAGTGAAGTGCAATACAGCAATATCTACAGATTTTGAACAGCAAAACGGAGTACCACAAGGTAGTGTGCTTAGCCCCATATTATTTAATGTGGTCATAAATAAAATTGCAGAAGTTAAATTACCAGTAAAAATTCTACTTTACGCAGACGATT